GAAGAGCGCAGGCACCGCGCGGGTTCGAAAGCGCTCTTTATGGTGTGAAACACAGAATGAACTGGGGGGGCGAAAGGCCTCCGCGATCAGCGAGTCCAAACCGTCACCGATCCTCACCTTGTTCCCCAACCCAGAGCACTGAGGGCCATGTCCAGTCGTGCCTTGGGCACCTCCAGGGGTGGGGACTCCACCACCTCCCTAGGCAGCCCCCTTCCAAGGCCTGAGCACCCTTTCCAGGAGGAAATTCCTCATGTTCACTCTGACCCTCCCCTCACACAGCTTAAAACCATATCCTTATCACGGAAGAGAAGCAAAATCTGCCCCCTTGTCCCCTCAGAGACACCCCCGAGGACTCCGGTCCCCTCAGAGACACCCCCAGAGCCCCCCTGTTCCCTCACAAGCCCCCCTGACAGATCCCTCACCCCTTCCCTCAGCAAAGCCAAAGGGCAGGGGCGACGATGCTCTTTTCCTCCTTTACCCTGAAACACCTCCACGGCAATTTGTTTTAAAAAATATGTCTTTAATGGGTGTGCTGAGGAGAGCGAGGGCGGGGGTCTGTCTGGCTCAGGGGGGCTGTGGGGCAGGAGGGGCCGCGGGGCCCCGCAGGGCTCAGTCCGTGGACTCGAGCACGGACTCGCTGAGCGCCAGGTCCCAGTAGTGCTCGGCGCTGTGCTTCTTGAAGTGCTCCCGCGCCATGTTCTCCGTGGGGCACTGCTTGAACTTCATCTCGCCGAAGCTGCGCTCCTTTGCCGTGCCCTGGCGCGAGAGAAGGGGTGATGTCCCACCTGGGTCCCCACCCGCCGTGGTGGGGGACACAGCAACACACGTTTTGTCCCGGCTACGGCTCAAGGAGAGTCGGAGCAGCGGGTCTGTCCCAGCCCCCGGACGGAACCACCCCCAGGACTCACCTCCCAAACCAGAGAGCATTTGTTTGTTTTCTTAACAGACTCCTCATCAGACTCATCATCATCTGGGAAAAAAAACACAAATAGAGCCCATTTAGCCCCAAAAGTGGAGGCAGAGTGGGTCCCCCACACCCAACCCCCCCACACTATCACTCACCCTCTCCCTTCGTGTTTGACGTCTGCTCGTCCCACTTTATTCGATGAAGCATAAGACGTTTGAATTTCTTCTGTGCTTTCGGGCCTGGGGAAGAATTGAGATTCAAAGTTCACCAAAAAATCCCTTAACCTGCAGTTCTCAGAGGTTCCCTTCCACATGGAGTGGATTACTGCACCCTGCAGCCAGCGCTAACCCCGTAATTAAGGGAGTTTCTAATAGTCTCCTCGCTTCCTTGTCCTTCCCTAACCCTCCATCACCAATTTCCACAGTAATTCCTGCTGGAGGCAAGCTCTGGAATGACCTCCTCACCTCCTTCTACCACCACCACGTTGACATCTTTGTGCAGGACCACCACGCCTGTGAGGTAAAGCTGCCCCGCGTTCGCCTCGATTTTGAATTTTTTTGCTGGATTGCTCAAGTTTCGGACCCTGAGGACAAGATTAAAAAAAAAAAAAAAAATAAAACAAATATTTGTGGAAACCCAGAATTATTATCTCAGCCCTGAGAGCTCCTCCTCTGCCTCGCCTGGGCCCAGAGACAGAGCTCACCTGAACACAGCTCCCTGAGCTCACCCACCTGTAGACAGCTATGTGAACTCCCTGGGAAACGTCTTCCTTGAGCTTTTTCACCTTCTTGGCTTTCCGCTGCTCCGCCGTGAGCTTCCTCGCCGCGTTCGCCTCCTCGTGAGCTCTGCAAGCAAAGCGGCAGCACTGAGGGAAAGGCAGCCCAGGGCGTCCCAACACGGATCCTTCTCTTCCCAAGCAAACCCTGATATTATTGTCTGGAGAAACTGTGGCTTCCGCATCCCTGGAGGTGCTCAAGGCCAGGTTGGATGAGGCCTGGAGCAGCCTGGTCTAGTGGGAGGTGTCCCTGCCCATGGCAGGGGGTGGGACTGGATGGACTTTAAGGTCCCTCCCATTCCAAACCATTCCATGATCCACAGATCCCAAAATCCACAGATTGCAAAGCAGCTGCAACTCTCTGCCTAAATGAGAGGCTTTTCTAATCCAGTCACTAGTCCAAGTCATCCTTGGGCTCTTCCCTGGAAACATTCCTTAGTAACAACTGCAGTGGGAATCATCATTGTGGGAAGAAACTCACTGACTTCAGGGCCCTGGAAGGGCTGATCCCTGGGATCCAGTTCCCCCTGGACCAGGGGGGGTCCTAACCACAATACTAGCACTAAATCCATCCAAAAATGTCCCAAAACCCAGTACAAGGTGCCACCTACTTCTGTCTCTTGGCCATCTGTGCTCGGACATGAGCTTCCACCTTCGTCGGGTCCTGGACGGCTTCTGTGCCCAGCACCCGCATCAGGTTGGAAATCCTCACTGCAAGGGAATGGGAGAGCTCCCATCGGACACAGGAATGGGAAAGGGGCTGGGAGAGCTCCCAAGAGACGTGGGAAAGGGGCTGGGAGAGCTCCCAAGAGATATGGGAAAGGGGCTGGGAGAGCTCCCATCAGACATGGGAAAGGAAGAGGGGCTGGGAGAGGCTCTGTTTGGACACGGGAACAGGAGAAGGGCCATGAGAGTCTCCTGTTGGGACACCAGGACAGGAGAAGGGCTGGGAAGGCTCCCAATGGACATGAGCATAGGAGAAGAACCAGGAGAGGTTCCTGCGGGACACAGGAATGGGAGAGGAGCCAGGAGAGGTTCCTGTGGGACACAGGAATGGGAGAGGAGCTGGAAGAGGCTCCTGTGGGACACAGGAATGGGAGAGGAGCCAGGAGAGGTTCCTGTGGGACACAGGAATGGGAGAGGAGCTGGAAGAGGCTCCTGTGGGACACAGGAAAGGGAGAGGAGCTGGGAGAGGTTCCTGTGGGACACAGGAATGGGAGAGGAGCCGGGAGAGGCTCCTG